AGACTTTCTGGTCCCAAGTCGGCTGCCCTACCTCTACCCTATCTCGGACTCTATATGAACATAAGTGGGCCAAGATGGGGGACATCTTGGACATGTGCATACTCCCAGATTTTGTTGCATCAGCGAGGGGTTTCCATGAGCAGAACTTAGTAAGTTAATATTTTCTGTCTTTCCTAAGACGTGTTTTGATTTGTCTTTGTTCAGACTCAATATACAACCATAGTTAAGACTTTAATGTAACAACCATCGTGTTGTGTAGACACTTTTTAAGCTACATAAATTGAGTTGTGAAATGTGTAAATGGGTGTCATTAGTTCTGTCCTTTATATTTGTGTACATTGTGTGTTACATTTGTATGAGGGGGAAATACTTAGCATTTTTGATGCATCCCAGCTCTCAGTGACAAGTGAAGACGAGTGTAGAGGAATGTAAATTAATATGGCATTTAATGAGTTTGTGACAGGAAATATGTTTTGACTTTATCACAACAATTGTATTAATTTTCAAAAAATACACTAATGCAAGTTGAATTTGAACAGCAGACACTTGCTGAAAGCGGAAAAATAAAAGCGGGAAGTAGTAGACGAAGAGCAGGTGTGTAGAAGAAGCTGAATAAAGCAGAATTGAGCAGCATAAGCCGAACTAGGCTGAGAGAGGCTGCATAGATTACAAAGAAAATGTGAAATTATCAAAACAAATGGAAGTGAGCAGAAAAAAGCTTAAATAAAAAAGTGTCTGAAAACCAACAACAAAAAAAGAGTTGAAATTGGCTGAAAAAAGTTGAAAAGAGCATAAAAAGCAGAAATTATTTGAAAGAATCACAAAGGTGAAAATTAGAAGGAAAAACAAAACATGTCTAAAATTAGCAGAACATTACCTAAAAAGGAGATGGAAAAAGCAGAATTTAGCAGGAAGAAGCTGAAAGGAGCTGAATCAGAACAAAAGCTGAACTGAGCAGTAAAAGCTTTTCAACAACACAAAGAGCCCCATTCATTTTTAATGAGAATAACATGGCAGAAAACTCCAAATATATCAAAAAGTAAAAATTGCACAAATACCAAAGGTCATAGAAGGAATTCCCTGAATGAGCTGAACATTGCGATATATGAATGGTTTAAATAGCTCCAATTGCTGAATGAGTTGCGTGGCGAAAAACGTACAGAAGATAAATGGATCTCAATAGTGTGAATGCTTCATAAACATTCACACAGTAACAAACCTGGATGGTGCATTTAACTTATAACCTCACTTTGCCATTAAATACTAAAAATAAACCCAGCCTATTCATAATTGATTATTTAGTGATTGCTCTAAAAGCCATCACAGCAAATCTTGTGAAATGTCTGTTTAGTTTTTTTTATCAGCCATCTCAATATTCACAACGCTTCGCTCAGATGAGAGCCTGTTTCCCATCCTCGTTTTTGTGCACATAGCAACATCATCACTATTCTGTCTGACACTTTCGTAATGAGCCGAAGAGAGAAGTGCTGACAGAAATGTCTTGTATAGTTGAGGTAGACTGATGGCTCTGGCAGCTTAAATGCAGACGAGCAATATTTGATGTAAATCCCTTCAGTTTGTTTCCTCTGAGTGTGCACAATCCTGTAGTGCTACAACTACCCTCTGCATCATGGCTGTAAGAACATGTAGTTTATGTTCTTAACATGGCAGTAATACTTGATATATTATTCCTAAAATATGTGTCTGTAGGTGTCATTATACACCTGCAGACTTAAATATATTGGACCAAACACCCTGGATTTGAAGTAACAGCTCCATTTAATTATAATAAATATTTTAACCAAATAAACCATTTAAAGGAGAAGGTAAGGCCCATGTCAGCAATAAATGTAAAAAAAAGAATGGGTGTGTATGAAAACTTTAATAGCAGAGTCCAAAAAAAGTCATAAATTAGTATTTACAAACTAACGAAGACGCAACCTTAATAGATTAAGCTTGTTTATTTAACATATATTTGTTTAAAGCTTTGGCTTTTATTGGTTATGAAAAGAACTAGATAAAGTAAAAATAAATTTTGCATTTCTTCCACATAGTGTGCCTTTGTGATCACAGTATTGACCAAAAAAATAATAAACATTTTGGTTCTAATTTATTTGACCTACCTTACATTAGATTTTTTTTTTCCCAAAAAGCATCTTAATGATTTTGGTATTCATTTAACTACTTTTTTGTATTTTCCTCTACTATAAACCACAAGTGGACTAATAACATAACTGAGTAAAGAATAGTTAGAATAAAATTAGGAATAAATGCTCATTTTCTCTTAAACACCAAAACGAACAAGATAGTAACTGTTCTAAGATCTGAACAATTACTTTAATTAATCAATGTTACTTTAGTGGATTATGTTAGAAATTGCCTGTATAATTTTATTTTATAGCTTGCTTAAAAAGAGCAGAAAAACAAAAACAAATGCCACCATTCCATAATTTTGCTAAGTTAGCAGTATATAATGACACTAGCTGTTTATCTTTTGACACTTTTCCAATTATGATGTTAGAATCTGTTTGCGACAACGTAATGGATTTAATTACAAAGCCAAACATCTCGTTGTCACCTTTAAGCCCATCTCAAATAAGAGGAAAAACAGAAAATGCAGACACAGCTAATACTGCTAATTTAAAACTTACAAACTCATATGTATGAACACAGGAATAATTTAAACTAATTAAACCCTTTTTTATTTTTTCAGTGTGTTTTTGAAAATGTATTTGCAAACAAAATAAAACTGAACACTTGGTGTCTCAAAGAACTTCTGTATTTTATCATCCATGACTGCCGGAGTGTTTTTCTTGTGCACTTTCTGTTATATGGACGTTGTCATCTTAGTTTTGGCAGGCTGCGATTCCCAAAAATCATTATTTGGCTCGGTCACCTTTCTCTGCTTCGCTTCAGTTTATTAGTTCTTCCAAAGGAAAAACAAAACATCAGAATCAGCGAACTTTGCAGTTCGTTCATATGCTGCCTGTTATTAAGACAAATGGTTTTCCCCCTGACAAGTGTCTCCTGGGTGTGCTTCCACATGTCCCTCTCTGAACCTAGTCTCCATTTAATCAGCTCTCTCAGGACTTGGTTTTGTATAATTACGATATGAAACTTTAAACACCAAGGATTCAAGGCAGGGAGAGCTGGACATTTCAAATAGACAAGAGCTAAATTCTAAGGAAATTAGTTTATTCCTGAACATAATATTAAACGTATTTGTCCAAAGCAATATAAACTAAATGTATATAACAACTTACAGCAGGTATACAAACAAACCTCTTGCTATTTTGCAGAGTGCTTTCCTCCCAGCATGCAACCTGATGTGATGCACCTCTGCAGCCTCTAAAGGAGCTGCTCAACTAAAAAAAACATGTTTAAGCACATGCAAGCAAGCTGTTTTACCTTGTTTTCATTTTCTTTATCCCTAAAAGTGTGCTTTAGGTTCACCAGCAGCACTGATTTGAGTTGACAGGCAGGACAAGCTAAGTTTGTCAACATAACACGAGGCCAGCGGATGACAAGGAAGTGTTAGTCACTCAGTCTATGTTCAGCTTCAGGTTCAACAAATCAGAATAAAGACAAAAGCACTCATGTTGGATGTTTTTTTTTTTCTGAAATATTGTTTAATGTGGTGAGATATTGAGTGTTATGTTATAGTTGTGGTAAGAAATGGCTGGAGTCTTTCCACCAGTACAGGAAAACACCACAGCAGACGTTATTGGAGCTCTTGGCGTGAGCAAATAATTTATATCAGATCTGATATATGGATGTGCACTACACATCCATATATCAACCTGTCTTTACTTTGAGCAGAGGACTTCAAGTGTCGCAACATTTTAGAAGGAGGACACGTGACTCAAACATGATGGTTCAATATTCAATTTATTAAAAACAGCTTCCTGTACGGAAAAAAGATGAGGAACCCCCAATTCCCATATCCACCAAAAAACACAAGAACCCAAAGTAGTAACTAACAGATGGACCTGGTGAGCCGGTCAAACAAAACAAAAAGGTACAGCAGTGGGCCAACCCTATACAGGGCCGTCGAAGCCACTGCTGGTACCCGACTAACAACAAAAAAATAATCTACAAAACACCTGTTATAAAAGAAAGAAGCAATAACAGGACAACTGGTCAAACCAGACCAAAGTTACAACAAAACAAAGACAAAAGTTAACAAAAAACTAGCTTGGCAGGCTGAGACTGGCAGCTACGGCCAACACGTCAAAACCAATCCTGGTCAGGAAGAGCGAGATGGAAAACAAAGCTCAAAAAAAAACAAAAAAACAAGGGAGGCCAGAGAGCAGTCAAAACAAAATGAGCCCCAAAAGAGAGTGAGCTCCTGAAGGCCAGCCTATTTATAGGTGGGCGGAAAATGCAACACCTCAAAACAATTAAAGGTTAATTAGTTAACCATAACCCAAAATATGTCCAAAGGACGAAATAGTGATAATGTGTTTCAGGCACATAACAGCGTCTGGTTCATGAGGGATGGCAGGATGAAGCAGGAGATGAACCGACAGCTCGGGGCTTTGTCTGTGGTAATGAGAGTGTTGATCCGGTCTGTTGAAATGAAGAAAGATTTGAGATGAAAGGCAAATCTTTCAGTTTATTCCTTTTTCTACGTTCAGGCATTATCTGTGAACCATTAGAGCTGGATCAGTATATCCTCTTTCTTCTGGGAATGTCTTGGGATCTCCCAGGCAGCACTGGAGAGTCACTTTTTGGGAGGGGACTCGGTTTGTCTACTGGATCAGTTATCTCTGCCACCCAGTCTTGAATAAGCAGAAACAAATGCATGGATGGATGGATTCTCAAAAATGATGAATAAAACCTGATTAAATATTGTTATCAGGAGTAGAAGATTTATTTGCGTTTTTTAATCCTTTGAAATCTACACCTCCTGCAAAAATGACCCATTTTTATCCATTAACATCATTCTCACAGATCAGGTTAATGCGTTACGGTAATTCTGGTGTACCTTTCTTCCTCAGTATGAATTCAAAGCCAAGAACATCAAGAAGAAGAAGGTCAGCATCGTGGTGTCTGTTGATGGAGTCAAGGTGTCGCTCAGGAAAAAGCAGAAGGTGAGACAGTGCTGATATTTTTTCTGACTTTGAACAAACAGGAACTGCTCCTAGTAAATTTGATACAATAAAGTCGTGTCTGTGGTTAATGATGACTTTTTGTGTCCTACGCAGAGAAAAGAATGGACGTGGGATGAGAGCAAAATGTTGATCATGCATGATCCAATATACAGGTATGCAAACTCAAACTATCATAGAAATATAGAAAATGGTCCACATTGCATTTATTGGTCACTCAATGGGATTTCACTGTGCAGTATTCAGTCCAGTCAGCCTGTGTCAGTTGCATTAAAGTCATGATTGGGAGCAAACAGTACAGCCTTCAGCACACTATGGTATTTAGTGGAAAATATATTCTCAGCTATAGTTTAGATCATAGTTTAGATCTGCAACCTTTTTGATTTAAAGAGTCATTTTTGTCCTTTCACTCATTAAAAGAAACGTGCCCTGAGCTGCAAAACCTGCTACAACTGTGGTTGTGAACTGGTGGCCCATGGACCATTTAAAGTTTGTTTCAAGGGATTTTTTTTGTCCGGTGGGGGTGACATCACAGAGCAAAAAAATTTTAATATATAAAGAATTACAATATTTATTGATATGTTTCTGTTTTAGGACAAAATAAAAGACTGTATTTATGTAAATAAGAGAAAAAAAAACAATAGTTTATACCATTTGTAATAAAAAATTAATACCCTGAATTCTGCAGGAAGTCCTCCTGTTATAAAGTATCTATCTATCTATCTATCTATCTATCTATCTATCTATCTATCTATCTATCTATCTATCTATCTATCTATCTATCTATCTATCTATCTATCTACCTATCTA